TGAATTGATCCCTCTTGAACAATCTATTTAAAACCCATTTTAACTCTCCCTTCCTTAGCCTCACTGCCATTAACAACGAACCACCGCTCCATCAACCCACTCTCCCTCTCCATTCTCGCTTGCACCCTATCATTACAGATCAGAGACAGCCATGAGTTGGAGCCCTCCAGTCAACGTCCTCCAGGTAAGCTTTCGATCACACCCTCTGTTTTCTCTGATTTGAAACTTTGCCCTAATTTCTCTCCCTAAGTTTCTACTCAATTAAATCTCTAAAGGACAAGATGACAATACTTTGTTACAAAAACATGAAAACGAAGGTGTAAAAGATGTCATGAGGTCAAGTGTTCATCAGAAACTTCAGATTTCTTCACATTTGGTGCGTTTATGTTTTATATCAACATTCTTTTTATGTTTTTTGGTGCTGTAACGATATTTTGTGTTTGATTTATCCTTCCTCTCTATTGAGCCTTATCAAAGCTAGGCCCTTGAATAAAAATCTAAGGAAAGCTACACGATATACCCTCTGATTTGCTCTTTTTTATCCTCCTCTTTTTATCTCTAAAAACAGGGCAATACCAGTGGATTTCTCAGGTTTGATTTTTTTTCTTGAACAATTTTTGGTTGAAGTTTTCATTTTCTGGATTCCCCCTACATTGTGTTTGGAGTTCTTTTGTTTGAATTTTGAAGATTTTATTTCTGGATGACCACCATCTTCAAGTAGAAGCTAATTATAATATGCTTGATTTTTAGTTGTTACCAACCATAGTCACCCTCACACCCCTTGCCCTCAAAACAAATAAATGTGTGTATATGAAAAAGCTCTTGACAAGTGAGATGCATTTGTTCTACATGTGCTCTTCAAGCATAATTTCTTACAAATGTATGTTTTACAAAAATTAAAAGATGTCTTTTTGTTTGGCTTATGTTAAGATTTTGTATTTCGTATGTTTTGATCTGTTTGTTTTTGTTATATTTTGATCTGTTTGTAGAATCATAGATATCTAATGACTTTTTTTTAATAATAATATAATTCAAGTTAGGCCCATGACATCAAATCTTCAACTTATTTGGTGGAGGAACTGCAATAATCGTAAGCTCTAATGAATTTGTGCAGGGGCCTAATACAAGCTTTCTTTTGATTCTTATGTTTTTCACCTTTTATCTTGCAGGTGGATAATTATAGCTCATTAATTTTTCAAAATGACTTGCAGTTTGGAATGTCCTTTCTGTAATTAAGGTGAATAATTATACCACATCAAGGGTATTGTTCTCCAAAAATTGTTATGTCCTTTCTGTAATTCAGAAGTGGAATCAGTTGACCATGTTTTCTTTAAATGTGTGCTTGCCAATAATCGAGGTAGACCATTCTTCCTTGAACTTATATCTCTTACATTTAATATGTTTGATAATGGTTTCTACATTACTGATAGTGGCAAGTTCCCAAGGATTAAAACTTATATCTGAAGGAAGTTCATGAAAAATCAAAGCTAGGACAATGGTGGTGGATTTTTCATACCTTGAGGTTAAAAAAGGGGGAATGAGACCGTTAAAATGTGTTTGCTGTTTGCAACAGATAGAACTAGCGGGGGTATTAGGATTTTAATTTTAAGCAAGGGGACAACACATTACATGTTCTGTACAGCTATGTGAAGCAATAATTTCTAATGCTCCATTAATGGTCCTACAACTGGTGGTGGTTCTAAGGGTATTAATCTAAGTTTTGGTTTTGTTATTAATTTTTATTATATGTTTGATTCCCTCAATGGTCCTATAGCGAGTTTGATTATCTTGGGTGGTACACAAATGACTACATGGGCACTTTACAATAAAGCACTATCCATTTTGCAGATTGTTTATTTTCTTAAGAAAACTAGCCCATCTCTTTATTTATTTGTTGTATATGCAACATACATACATGTATTTAGATGAGACTGAAAACATTGGGGCTTTTAGGAAAACAAAAAATTGGTGTTTCATGTTTATGAGATTTTAGGTCCGAGGGGTAATTTTGTAAATAAAAAGAAACTTTTCAAGGTATTGAAGTTAGAATTAAGCCATGTTTTAGGTCTATACATGTGTGGCTGTATGTGGTTCTGCGTGTGCCCATATGTGTGTTAATGCGTGTATTATACTTTATTGTTTAAATAAATACTATTTTATTTTCATTTTGTTGTTTTGGTTTAGTTTTGATATCTCTACTTTATATACTTTCATTTATTTTGTATATACATTATAGAATTTTGACACGACTATGTGTCTTACATTCTAAGTTTCTTCTTTTAATGCCTATTGTGTTGATTAGGTGCAACTATCAATGTTTTTTTTGTTCAAATTTGGGACCAAAAAAGCAATTAACTATGTTTCCGACTTTACGATAATATATATAATTTGTATGAAATCGGATGAATGGTAAAAGACTTTATCATGCAATGGTGTAAAATTAAGAGCACAAAATTGAGGTGTCTCTTTCTTCTCTTTTACCCATCACTTTAATTAAAAGATGTAAATTTCAACATACTTTTTAAAATTTATTTTAAAAATACAATGTTTCAAGATTATGATTATTGATAGATTGACAACCAATTTTACCATCACACATAATTGAAATTGAAAAGCTATTTTTAAAGAATATCATCATCATTCAAATAATCAATAAACCAATGGTTTTAGGTTTTAAGGAATATACGTGTAATGATTGCAAGGTATCAAATGTTTTAATTGTGACTTCAAATACTCTTTGTGTATTGTAAGGAAAAAGGGGCAAGCTGGTCATTTGGGTTTGATAAATTATTTTGTTTATTTATTTCACTTTTAAGTATATGATTAAAAATAAATTTGTTTCTTGTTTGACTTTATAAGTAAAAGACTGAAGAAAAAAAAAACTCATCTTGAAGGTCTCGACTTGAATATTTGATGATCTCCCAAAGCTAGATGACATTTGTGAAAGGGTAACAAAAAAAATTTTAAAAATAATAAAGTATGGGTTCTTGCAAGTGTTGGAATCCAAATGAAGTTAATTCCACAAATAAGGTTGAGGAGAATTGTTGAATTGAAATGAATGCTTAGTGATATTTGCCGATACATTGTGTCTTATTTTTTATATGACATGTTTCCCAAAGCAAACTAATCGTTGAAGTAAAGGTAATCATGGTCCGCCGAATAGAAATTAATTTCCAAAACAAACATTCTTACCCGACGCTTGGCGCGGGTAAATAGTTAGTATATATATATATATATATATATATATATATATATATATATATATATATAATATATATATATATAAAAGATGTACAGACAACTATATCATTATATCTTCATCTTCATTTAACATAAATTCTGAAATCATACATCTAGAACTCAGATTTTTAGCATATTCTTACATAAAATAAAGATACTTCAAACAGTTATAACTAAGATCTTTTACCAACTTATCTATATTTACATCAATATCTAAAAATCACATAACTATTTAACAAAGAATTATAACTAATCAATAAAATATAAAAATACACAAAAATGACAAAAGTCAAACCAAAAGGGTCAGATTTCAAGTTTTCTAATCTTTTGAAGGTTTTTAGATCTGAAAACTTCAGCTGGTGTTTATGTGTGAGAGAATATTAGTTCCTGGTAGGCGGTGAAGGCAGTAATTTGTTGTTGGTAGAGAAGACGAAGAAAGGGTGTATGTACTGCCGTTTTTAAGATCTATAGTGGCGATGTTGCTGTGGTTGGAAATGTCAATATCGTTAGCAAGGTGCTTGATGGTTGCGACAGCATTAGTTGTTAAAGGTGGCGATGGAGCCGGTTGATGATGGTGGTGTTGTAGGTAGTGGGAGATTACAGAGTGGCGACCGCAGAAGGTGGCTTATGGTAAAGAAAAAATTTGTGGCTGGAGGTATTGAGGCGGAGGAAACAAACATGGTGAAAATTTTGGGTTTTTTAGAGAGAGGTAGAGAGAGATACGAAGGTAAGGGAGACAGTAATTTTCATTAACTTCAAGTGAGGGTGAGGAAGGAAGTAGGAAGTATATATAATAAATTGGGTAAGTGTTCACTTAATTTTGATTGGTTCTAAGCATTTTACATGGATTACCATTAGTATCATCCTACCATTAGTATCATCCTGACCGTTCATTAAAGATCCAACGTTCTTTCCTTGAATTTTAAGACATTGTCTTAAAAATGGTGGGACCCTCGATTATATACCTTTTATATATATATATATATATATATTATATATATATATATATATATATATTATCAATTTGTTAAATCCGTAGTACTCTATTTTTTGGTTATTCTATAATTTTCTATTCTTAAAAGTTTATCAAGTTGTATAAAGTTGATGTAATCTAGATCATAGAATTAATGCATTGTTGTCAACGTCTATTTTCTATAGCTATAAACTTTTTAGATTTTAAATCTCCTGTGTAAATCATGTTATTTATTATAATTCAATATTCAAAAAATATATATAGAAAAATATTACACATCTTGTATTTGATACTTGCTATATCATATATTTTGTAAACTGTTTGAAATGAGGAGTTCAAATTAAAATTTCTAATTGTATAATGATTAAAAATATTGAGACATGCATATCAGAAACGAAAAGGTAGTAGATCATTTTTTTTATTAGAAAATTTGTCTTTACTTCTTATTCCGAGTCTTTTCACCATCCCCACTACCACCCACATCCACCAAAGCATCCTTTTTGCTACTCTTGATATGAGGGGGCCCATTTGTCAAAAATGAACAAAAATCCACATCCCAAAATTCTATCTACCTCAATTCTATACGACTTGAGTGTTAATAATCCCTTTTTATTTTATAATCATATTCATATCCAAGTTAATATAACTTAATAATTTTGAAATCAATAATAGACAAAAATAAAACTAAAAAAACCGAGACGCATAGTTATAATGAGCGTAGTAAATGCACTGTTGCAATTATTTGCTAACAAACCCAAACGAAATCAGTCCTGGTGTGTTTATCGCTATGTATGAATCCTACTTTAATAACAAGCTCACCAATGCACTTGTGTACTACGTTTTTTTATTGCTTTTGCTTCTCATTTCACCTTTTCTTTTCTTTTGTGAACTCGTCACCATCCTCCGATCATGTTTCCAACCTATGGAAAACATGACAGGAAAAGTGGTTTTGATCACTGGTGCTTCATCGGGACTTGGAGAGGTATGTAAACCAAAAACCATAAAGGCATAATAAACCTTACGGTTATTTCAACCTTATTTTTTATTTGCTTTAATCATAAATGGCAGCTCATGGCTTACGAATACGCGAAAAGAGGTGCATGTTTAGCAATTGTCGCGATAAAAGAACCAGAGAGTCGACTTGAGCAAGTGGCAGATAAAGCGCGTGAATTTGGCTCTCCCGATGTTCTTTTCGTGTTTGCGGATGTGTCGGAGGTTAATGAGTGTAGAATGTTCGTGGATGAGACCATTAGACGTTTTGGTCGATGTGGGTAACCCCATAATCTCCAAATCATTTTTTTTTTCGAAGTCATTTTTTTTTTGTGAATTAACATGATAATTGATCCCTTTGCAGTAGATCATCTTGTCTGTAATGCTGGAATCGGGTCCCTTTATTCGATTAACATTGGCGTCACCAAATTCGCACCAGTTATGGTATGATCCTTTAAAGTGGAAGATTGAAATTAGGACTAGTATTGGGACTGGGACTGGGACTGAGAGTGAGACTTATGAAATAAAAAATGCATTTTTACTTCTACTAAAAAAGGTTATATAGTTCTCAATATCTGATGTGCACAAAAGACATGAATGTTATTTGCATCCTTATTATTAAAGATAATCTTATATATATAAAGCTTATCTAGTCTACTCCGGTTCAATTCAATTCGCTATCGCCTGTCTCATGTAACAAACGTAACCATAGTTTACAACTATTTCTCTCGATCATAGCTACCATTGCAATGATTCATATAACAATGCGCGCAGGACATAAACTTTTGGGGATCAGTTTATCCAACTCATTTTGCGATACCACATCTCATAAGAACTAATGGAAAGATTGTGGTCAATGCTTCATGTGGTGGAGTGTTGCACCCACCTAAAGGTGGCTTCTACAATGTAACGAACTACTACATTCGACCCATTTTTGTGTTTCCTCTTTGTTATTTAACCATATATATATATATATATATATATATATATCTATATATATATATATAATATATATATATATATATATATATATATATATATATATATAAAACCTTATTTATGGTTCTTAATGTGTCTTAATTTTCAGGCAAGTAAAGCAGCCTTAATCAGCTTCTATGAGTCCCTTAGATTCGAAGTGTCTCCGAGAGTAACAATAACAATCTTGACACTCGGTTTCATAGAAACCAACATGATAACACCCAAGTATTCAACCAGTGGTGTTGGTGTTAGTCTAAGAAAAGTAAGTAAATAACTTACTGGTTCATTTCCCGCTAAATCGTAACCGATAATATCCATTGTCTGTAAAAGCTTTTTTAAAACTTTGTGCAGGGTTTTGGAACCATCCACCCAACAATGGGGGCAGAGTCATGTGCAATAGCCATTGTCGATGGAGTATGCAAAGGAGCAACATCCATTACAGAACCAAGATTCATAAAGGTTCTGTTCTTGATCAAGTTCTTGTTCCCAGGACTACATCGTTTTCACATGAATATATTTTCCCTAGGATTCTCTAAAGAACTAAAAGGAACATATGAAAACTGATATTATAGTTGGGTATGGAGTCTGATTCTAATGTTTCTCTTTATGATTTTCAGTTGTTTCTTTGTTTCCTATGAAATTTAAAAATAATGAGTGTATTTTTGACAACTAGACTTATTCAAATAATTACATCTTGTGCGATGAAGATCCTCAGTTATGTATATAAGATATAATTATCGATTGCACTAAGACATAGGGCGTGTTCGGCAAAACTAGTTGGTAGCGGATAGTTGCTAATGATTAGCGGGTAACGGGTAGCTGGTAACAAGCAGCGGGTAGCGTTTGATTTTGGAGAGTTTAATTGAAAGCTTTTTCGTGTAGCTTTTGATTTTGGAGCGATTTGTTTAGGCTAAAAGCTAAACGCTCTGGTTGCCGAACGAAGTTTTTCCTTTTTTACAAGCGTTTTCTTAAAAGCTAGAAGCCGGAAGCTCCCAAACGTTGTGTCCCGAACACGCCCATAGACAATGCGGGGAACTCTACTGATTTTAGTAGTTGTCACATGACCATTTCTATCTTTCTTATAATTTACCATCTTTTTTTTTATAATTTACCATCTTTTTCTATAATGCATTAAACTTACAAAAGTTCAATAAAACATATTTTTATAAATGAATAATTTATTTGTTAATCTTTTTATATTAAAAAAAGGTTAGCTTTTTCTCTTGAAAATTCAAGAGTTTAATAGTCACTCAACTTCATATGAATTCAACACTAACATGATGTCCATGTTGAGTTTAATTCATTGAATTCCAACTAGACGTTACACTGCATTAAATCATTCTATTAAATTGTGCAACATGGATGCTCTAATTGTCATTTCAATTTTTATTCTAACAAATGAAAATTAATTAAAGGATATTGAATTCAATGTGGTGTTTGGGACGGGAGTCAAAAGAAGTCAAGAACAAACATAGGTTGTTAGAGGACACACTGTGGTCTCGGTATTCATGAGAATAGCCTTGCGGGAAGCTCGGTACCAACAGGAACACCGCCCTAGAGGTGCGGTACCGAGCCAAAGCGGCTTTCCTTCCACGTGGCTCCTTCACTTGTGAACATTGCATGGCTAGTTTTCCATATATATTATCATTTTTTTTTATAAAACCACTATACACCCTTTAAATCTTCTTTATTTTCACACCAATTTCACAAATTAGGGTAATATAAATAAATGTCATTATATTTTTCTATCTTTTTCGGTTTATAACCGTCTATATTTTACTTCCTATAGGAATAATATCATAAAATTCCTAAGTTTTTAACGTGTAATTAGAAAAAACCCTAATATTATTATTATTATTAATACTATGACAACAACTTTCTCGCAGAATTATCACTCTAGACCACTTAACGAGTTTCATGGTTAACTTTGTTATCTTTTTTGCAAAATCAGTCCTAAAATTGAGTTTAAAGTTCAAATTTGGTCTCCGTAGTTTGCAAAAAATTACACAACATGATTTTTTTAACTTTATTTTTCGTTTTTATATACTTTATTTTTTTTATTTACTCTAATATATTCATACATTTTACACTTTTTATATATTTTTTTTAGTTTTTTTCATATTTCTTTTTGTATTATACTTTAATTTTTTTGTCTTTTTATTTTTATTTTTAATTTTTTTCGTCTTTTTCCTTATTTTAATTTTTTTTTGTATTTTTAACTTTTACTTGACATTTTTCAAAAAATGTAAAATGTATTAATATATTAGAGTATATTAAAATTTTGGTAATTTATAGTTTCTCTAATTTTTTTTTATTTTTGTTCAAGTAAATAAAATAGGTATATATAAATTTATGTGTGTGTTATATATATATATATATATATATATATATATATATATATTGTAACTTCGGTCCAATTTATTTTCTTTTTATTTTTTTGTTCTTTAGTGCAATTATAATTATGTTACGAAAAAATAAAAATTAAAAAAAAAACACTTTGTTTATTGAGAATTAATGTTTCAATGTGTGATATAACTTGCAAATTAAATCAAATTTCTATATGTGATATCAATAGTTTAAATTTAAGATAATATTTTTCAATTTGATAATTGACTAAAAGAAAGAACAAAAGAAATAATAATAGCCGGTCTCCATAAAAAAACTTGTTATAGTATTTTATATTGAATTCAAGTTCATTTACTTCAATCAAAATAAATAAAAATATTAGAAAAACCATAAATACCTAAAATAGAAAAAAAATAGAAAACAAAAGATAAAAGAGGTAAAAAATCAAATTGTTGAAAAATAAAGTTAAAAAATGAAAATAAATAAATTATACAAAAATAAAACAAAAATAAAAAATGTATATATATAAAAAAACGAAAATAAATAAAGTATACAAAAAACATAAATAAATAAAGTATACAAAAAACGAAAAATAAAGCTAAAAACCATGTGGTGTAATTTTTTGCAAACTACAGGGACCAAATTTGAACTTTAAACCCTATTTTAGGACTGATTTTGCAAAAAAGTTAACAACGTTAACCATGAAAATTGTTAAGTGAGCTAGAATGATAATTATACGAGAAAGTTGTGGTCATAATGTAACATCCCAATTTTCACGACCAAAAAATTTGTTTTTGATTAAGTAACTTATAAAATTGTTTACTGAAAAACATCATCGGATCATATCAATTCATACAACCATAGTCATATGTCTCAACCATATCATCAAAATAGTAAAAATGTCAGAGTACAATCCCATGGATCTCAAAATGCGGAAATCATATGTGTGCGATGTGCTGCTACCGTGCCGATTCCTTCCCCTTCGCTGAAGAGGTACCTGAAACAAAACTGAAAACCATAAGCACGAAGCTTAGTGAGTTCCCCATCATACCACATACCACAAACATATACTGCCTATCCCTCGGTATCTTTCAACCGGTATCCGACTGGCATAATCGGAAGCTGGACTTCCCTTCGATATCTTTCAACCGGTAGCCAGGAGCTTACCTCCCCTTCGGTATCTTTCAATCGGTAACCGGGAGCTGACCTCCCCTTCGGTATCTTTCAACTGGTAACCGGGAGCTGACCGGGAGCTGACCTCCTATTCGGTATCTTCCAACCGGTAATCGGGAACTGACCTCCCCTTCGGTATCTTTCAACCGGTAACCGGAGACTATTTCACCCCTACCACTACCATATAATAACATATCATGAACATATTGCTAGGCATGTGTGGGTACTGTCTACCCCTTCGGTATTTTTCAACCAGTATCCGGGGATATTTCACCCCTCCTACTACTAACACATATAACAAAACATCCTAGCACATAAAGCATATCAGATAGTGGCAACCCAGACAATTATCACAAAGACAATCATCTAATCAAACAACTCCTACTAGCGGGCCGGCATTGTGGCCGTATACCCACTCCTACAGGAAGGTAACTCACCTCAATGACGTGAAGTGTCCAAACTGTCCTCGATGCTGGGATCAACTCCTCTCAAACTCCTACAAATAACAACCTTCCTTAATTACCATTTCATACTCTTAACCCTTTCAAGGGTCAACTCAAGTCAAGTCAAAGTCCAGGTCAACACCCTGGTCAAAGTCAACTTTGGTCAAAGTCAACATCTGGTTGACTGAACTCGTCGAGTTGGTCCACCAACTTGTCGAGTTCCATAATCCACTAACATCCTAGAACTTCGCTCCTACTCGTCGAGTTCTCCTTCATACAGTATCGGGACCTTTAGTCAATGACTAACCGAGTTCGTCCTTGAACTCGTCGAGTCCTTCTTCATGCAAGTTGGAACGTAAGTCCTTGACTCGCCAAGTCTTTCCTTGACTCGTCGAGTTCTTCTTCATGTTCATTGGGACATTGCCTTGAACTCGCCGAGTTTGTTCTTGAACTCGCCGAGTTCCATGATCCTTAAGTCCAAAAACGAGCCCAACTTGTTGAGTTCTTTTCAAAACTCAACAAGTTGCTCAATATCAGAAGAGATTGGGGAAACTGCGACCCAACTCGACGAGTCGTATGAGTGACTCGACGAGTCCCTCAATGCCCAAATCCATACAGCCACTTTCAGTTGGGTTTAACACATCTAAAACTTAGATCTGACCTCCTACGGTCCATATTACACGTAAAGTTAGAAACTTTACGTACATGCAAGGTATCATGAGCCAAAAACACCATTTCCAAGTCTAAAATGAAGTCTAGGCTAAAGGGAATAACTAAAGCATGATAATTTCGTAAACTTTATGGCTATAGGGGCTGAAAGGGATCTAGATCTGAAGTTACAACTTTAGATCACACTTCACACTCAAAAAGGTTCACAAATTTTCTTAAAGATGACCCTAAACTCAAATATGGAGAGATCTAGCAATAGGAAAGTCAAGGAAGCAACTTTATACCTTTAAGCGGCTGGAAATGTAGCTTGAACCTTGGATCTACTGCTTCCTTGAACCTTCTAGTTCCTTCTTCTTCTTCCTCTAGCTTTGAAATCACACAAACACTCTCACAAATGGCTCACACACTCAACAAAGCTCAAGGGACACAAGTTAGGGCGTTCTGGACTAAGGGAGACGATGAGGGCTGCATGGGAGGCTGGTTAATATGTTTAAATAGGGTTCAAACCCTAAACCTTAGGGTTTCATCCAGACAGGTCAACTCGTCGAGTCGCGGCTTCCGACTTCTTGAGTAGGCTCTTTCATCCGCGTCCAAAATCTGTCCCTTACTCGACGAGTTGAGCCCCCAACTCGTCGAGTCCCAGTATGGAATGCAAAAATTCTTTATTTAAGATACGTACCAAGAACTGGGCATTACACATAACAATAATAAAAAAAATGTTAGGATTTTTTTCTAATTACGCATTAAAAACTTGAGACTTTTATGATATTAGTACTTTCCAATAAAGCTACCCTACTTTGAGAAAGACTTCCACAACAACTGTTTTTCCCTATTGATTATTTTTGAAACAGCAAATCTAACCTACTCCTAAACTACACACCTTAAATCCACCTATGGCCACGATGAGACTTGAACCCTCAATCTCAAGGAGGG